AGTCGATTGGTTATCGCCACGCAAGTTGCGATCCTCGAGCGCTGGCGAGTACCCAACACTTGATGGGGCCAGACTTTGGACGCGTATGTTGGGTGCAGTTTCTGATGGTTGAGATCTCCACAGCTGAGGTTTTGAGGCAGATTGACGTTCACATGCCACACGTGGGAGGTCCTCAACAGATGCCCGACTTCCCCGCACCACGAGGTCAAGTGCGGCCTCGTGATCCTCATGAGGTGGAAGAACGACCGGATCGATGGCATCGATGGCCCACTCCAGAGGCCACCATCGACGAGAAGTCAGAGGCGTCCGAACCTCAGGCTCAGGGCGTGGCCCATCCACGAGATGCTGAGGCGGACCCTGAACTGCTAAGGCCGACGTGGCGACCGTTTCAGCAGCCCTATCGGATAGAGCCAGACGGCAATTCAGATGTACAGGATCTGTGGCTGGAGCCCTGGGATCCAGGATGGATGCAACACACGAGAACAGAGTTCAGATTCTTTCTCGCTATTCTTGACAGCCAGTCACCACCGGACGCTGAGTACTGGTTGGGTTCTCGAGTGTTGGAAGCTGTCGAGGTGGTTATCTATCTGGAGAACCCAAAGAAGGATATGCAAGTTCTGGAGGTGGAGCTCGGCTCGGAGATCTCCAGGCTCGTGATCATGACCACTGACGAACACAAGTTGCCCAAGTCCGAGATCTTTTCCCTGTTTGCGAAAGATTGGGGCCATCGTGTGATTTGGTCCGTCAGCTCGACGGGGAAGACCTAGATGGTTATCGAACGAGAGGCCAACGAGCTCAACAAGGACGACTTGATCAAGCATCGGGTTGAAGTCGAAAAGGCGATGTCGAAGGAGCTGGGCAATTGGATCGACTAGGATGCACTCAAGCAACGCAGCAGGCGAGGGTGCACCAACCTGATGGACTCAAGATGGGTGATCCGTTGGAAGAAGCAACCGGACGGCAAGTTGGCGGTCACGGCACGGCTGTGCATCAAGGGCTTCAAGGATCTACAGCAGGATCGTCTGGACACCTTCAGCGCGACCGCCTCGAGGCAGAGTCAGAGGATGGTGAATTTCATCGCGGCGAGTCGTCCCAAGTGGGCGTTGTGGTCTTGTGATGTGGGCAGCGCTTTTCTGAAGGGACTTACGTTTCAAGATGTGGCCGATATGACGGGTGAGCCCCTCAGAACTGTTCAGTTGGACCTGCCCAAGGACACGGTGAAGATAGGCAGTTTGAACAATTGTCTAACTACGACGTGAGTCAGCACTGCTTGGAGATGGTGCGTCCCGGTTTCGGTCTCAAGGATGCGCCTAGATTATGGAATCTCAGGCTGAAGCAGGTGATGACGAAGCTGCAACTCTTGTCGTTGGTTACGGATCCGCAGTTTTATTGCAAGTCGGCGGGATCTCGATGCAAACCTGTACCTCCGGAGGTGGTGCCCACGAACGTGGATGAGGACAAGGCCCGAGGGGCCGACGTGCTGTTCACCGACCGGCAGGTAGCGATCGAGGACTTGCAGATGGTGTGCAGCACACGCGTGGACGACCTCAAGGGCGCTTCGACATAATCTACTGCTGATGCATTCATGGATGCTCTCGAGTCGGAGTTTGGGAAGCTCACGAGGCAAAAGAGAAAGTTCGAGCACTGCGGCGTTGTTCATGATCAACATGAGGACGGATCCGCGTGGTGCTCTCAGGATCACTACGCTGCGCAGCTTTCGGCCGATGCAGGTAGACAAAATCCGAGCAGATGACGAACCTCTCGACTCTCAAGACCGAACTTCATTTTGGTCACTCTTGGGTGGAGCGGCCTGGATGCTAGTCACTCGGGCGGATGTTGCAGTACATATTTGATACCATCAACGCCATGCTCACGAACCTTGCTGGAAACATGCTCGACATTTGAACTCAGCTGTACGATGGATCAAGAGAAAGACGAGTTCACTTGTTTACTATGCAGTACCTTTGCCATGGAGTGTTGTGGGTTTCCCTGGTAGTGCTTTCCGTGCGACCGAGCCGGACTGTCTGGCCGTCAGAGCGGCAGCGATTGCGATTGCCGGTCAGGACCTCATGCCAAAATACGGATTGTGTGCGACAGTGAAATTCTATTCACGAAAGCAGCCTCGGGTCTGTCGTTTTACTTTCTCGGCGGAGCTGGCGAGCGTTGATGATGGTATCAGCAATGCGCCGCTAACTCAAGTGATGGTATGTGAGGTTGTTCATGGCCCCCTGACAGCGAGCAAATTCAGCGATGTATGGGCGCAGGAAGGTTGCCAGTCGACCTGCATGTGTGCACGCACAACAGAGGACTCTTCACGGCGCTAGGTGCAACAGTTGAAAGCACCAGCGGAACCTCATCTTTTGCATTTACTGCGCGCTCTACGTGATAGATTGGAAGCCGGTATTCTATATAAACTCTGGTGGGTGGACACTAGAGCAATGATCAGCGACGCGCTGACCAAGGGTGGACTGGCTCGGGAACCTATACTGAAGTTGTGGGAGACGGCAGTGTTGATGATGACCGGGACGAACTACGCTTACGAGGTCCTCGCGGAGATACCAGTGAGTGGGAAGACATGTGAATCGTGATATCTGTATTTTTGATGGATGGCATGACTGTTGACTACGATTGGTCTACTGTATCTTTGGTGAAGAGGCTTTCTTCATTTGTTCCTGGTCCACGCTGCGTTGGGCCGTATATGCAGCCTGTGCGAGATTTATTGTTTATCGCCTTCCCTCTTCCCTCGTCAATGTTGTGATTTCCTTTTATTGCAGTGCATGGCGATTCTTCTGATACAGCGGTGCTTGCAGTAGCCTCTGATGTTGTTCTTTGGAAGTTGATTTCAGCAGTCCTTTCTTTTTAGCCTCTGGAGTCCCCGCGATGTGTCTTGGGACTTCAACACAGAGGGTTGTGGAGATGGCAGTCCATCCGTTAGGGATCGACTGTCGGCGGCTGGTTGGCCGTGGCAAATAATTTGCTCTGCTTCTCGTGCGCGCGCGGTGTCAGCTAGTAGGCTTTCGCTGAGTTTTCCCACCCCGAGTTGAAATGCAATGACCCTCCCGAGACCTGGGAGGGGCCAGGCAGTGTGCACAGCAGGAAGCGAGCAATCAGCAGCACGCATGGGTGTAACAGAGCGGCGTGGACGCCGCATTGGCTCAAGCCGTTCAGTGAGACGCCTCACCGAGTGCGAATCCTGTCCGCGGCGGCCAGTCTCTCCACAATCATTCCATATCAGATAACCAAGATTATCAACATCACGGCGATCCTCGCGGTCCTCTCCCTCTTCGGGGCCCTCAGGGCCAGCTGGGCTCTCAGGACCAGCGTGAACGTTTCACCACCGTCAGCGGACGCGCCGACGGAGCTGGACTACTACCCTCAGGAGGCGTTGGCTTGGGAGGGTCAGTACCAGGAAAACAACTAAAAATAGGTGCGGTGGGCGCGTGCGAACGCAGCCATTGGGGCCGCCAGTGGAGCTCCTTTTGGTGCCACGAAACGTGAAAGATGTGTGCAAAATGAGTGCGGTGGGCGCATGCGATAGCAGCCACTGGGGCCGTCGTTGGAGATCCCCATGGCGCCATGAAGCGTATGAGGGGTGTGCCCGATGGGCGCGGTGGGCGCATGCGAACACAGCCACTGGGGCCGTCGGTGAAGCTCCCCATGGCGCCACGAAGCGTGTGAGGGGTGTGCCCAAAAGGGCGCGGTGGGCGCATGCGAACGGAGCAGTTGGGGTCGTCGGTGGAGCTCCATATGAGGCCATGAAACGTGCGAGGGATGTTGTTGCCAAAATGGGCGCGGTGGGCGCATGCGAACGCAGCCATTCAGGCCGTCGGTGGAGCTCTCTATGGGGCCATCCACGAAGCATTTGAGGGATGTGTCAGAGTGGGCGCGGTGGGCACATGCGAACGTTGGCATTTGGGCCTCCGGTGGCGCCCCCTATGGGGCTACGAAGCGTCTGAAGGGTGTGCCGAGAGACGCGCGGAGTGCAGAGGCAAGGATGGGCGAGGAGGGAGGAACGGGAGAGGAGCGGAGGAAGGAACGCGGGGCGCTGTTTCTTCAAATCGAGGACCCAACACCAGAGGACGGTCGGAAACAAACGATGTCCTTCGTCATTTGTCCGACCGTGCCTCCTTCGAGCGTGCGGGAAGTATCCACATCCATGGCTTTGGGGGCTGAACTCCCCAGCCGCTCCCCCAGTGGATACAGGGCGACGTTGCGGGAATGCCCACCCCGTTCCGCGCAGAGTTTATCCCACGGGATCGCTTATCCCATGCGATCGTTCCTCGGTGTCCAGACTTGTGTTCCCTTTGACTCTCGTCTAGAAAGACCACCACTCTAAACTCGTTTAGACATACCCAAGCGACCAACACCAAAACGACCCGTCTTAGCTCAGGTAGGCACGCTCAAACAGATTAGCACAGAGCATGCCACACTTGTTGCGCACACCCACCGCCCCCACACGCACGCAGGCCTTGTATTGTTTGGTTTGTTGTTTATATGATTCATAACAAACGAGGGGAGCCAAAACCCAGATCTTAAAGGCGTGCTTGCTTCTGCCACCAGTAGCTCACACAATTCCCCCCTCTCGGAGGAGGGCCAGTTGAGACAACGACGGCCCTCCCGCCAGGCGCAAATCCGCTCAATATCGGCCCCTAGACCCCTCCCGGGATCCATCCTGACCCGTTTCCCGCGGCGGGCTCAGCCCTGGCGACGAGAAGCCCCCAGCACAGAAGGGACGAACAACGCCCAGGAGGGCCGCCGCTGTCTGGAGTGGCCATTTGGATCTTCCTGCCCCCCTGAGATCTGACGTTGCGAAAAAATGCAGCATCGCAGAAAATGACAATCAGAGCCCCAGACCTAAACTTTCTGCTGCATTTTTCGAACCGCATCGATCTGTGATGGTCTCGGGGCCCGCAATCCAGTGAGAACGCCAGGTGTGGAATAATTGCAACGCCAGGATCTAAGATCTACTGCCTACCCCTCCCTGCCCGTGCCGGGACCAGATACCGCCGCTCCACGTACACGGCCAGCGGGCAGCACTTTATCACCGCCGCCACCGAGGATCGGCGGCGTCTTTCGGCGGGGGTAACGAAGTCTGGCGGCCACGCCGCCTCCAGACGCGGCATCAGGGCGCGGTATAGCCGTCGACGCAGAGTCATCAGCGACACGCGCCTGTAGGTGACGATGCCCAGACCCCTTCGCGTCGTAACACAAAATACGACAGATGTTTTTGTTTGTGGGTTGCTATGTTCGGCCTCTGCGGGCCCGCGCTGGGCCTAAGGACCGTCAAGGAGTGACTCGGGGTGAAACCGGTCCCAGGGAATGGCTCGAGATCTCTGGGTGTCAAAATCACAACGTCGGGGGTCTGGGTACACTGGGGATGCGCATCAAGACGCCGAATTCCTTTCGTCGGGGCACTTCAGGTTGTCATTTCGCGCGCTGCGCGGCAACTTCCGCGGGCGTTGCGACACTGCTTCATTCAGTGTGCTCCGGGGGTCCACCGCAGTTGCACCTCACGCGCGGATTTTCAGGGTTGGGTTTCTTGCGGCCATTTCCGCACTGTTGGCGCGTTGGGTAGGTAATCGCTTAGGCAACGTGGTGCTGGAGGAGTACGAGGAGGAATAGGAGGGCAGGGGGAAAAGACCCCCGACGACACGATTTTGTTCACAATGCGGCCCTCAAGAGGTCTCGACTCCTGTCCGGGGACTGGCGTTCCATCCCCAGCCGTTCTTTGGCGTTCCTGGTGCCCGCAAGGGGCCCCCAGGAAGGCAGCGTTTGCGAACTTCGACCATAGTTGATCAGAGAAACGTGTTGGCCGCGTAAATCAGGGAGTGCCCGCAGAGGCGGCAGCCAGGCATCGACGGTGTAAAGTGCGCAAAAGGGCTCCTCTAGTTGATTCGTTTGAGTTTGTGGGAGTACATGGGTGAAGCAATTTCCCGTCCGAGCACAGAAGATGAAATGTCTAGCCATTGCCCAAGGCCACTATGATGTAGCAGAGTACAAGTAACGGAAGGCATTGCCTTACATTGTATGCAAGGAATTTGCGGTCGTCTCAGGGAGGCTGAATCCAACCCAGTACGAAGATCGGATCCAAAAGCGAAGACATGTTCGAGGACTCATGTACAAGATGGGCTCTGAATTGGGGCACAGCGTGCCGTTTTCGTGTTGCGGCCTTACTTGTCCTTACAATGTTGTGCAGATGCGCAAACATGTTAATATCATAATATGTGTTGTGAGCAGCTTGTACAGCAAGGCAATCCACTGATGCACTTGATTCGTCTGTCCCGAACGCGCATCTGCGCGGGCGGGTTGCTCCGAACATCTGGGCACACAGGTGGCATTGGGCTTCTGTATGTGGCGCAAGAACGAATACAACTATCGAAGAGGCTTGCTGAAGACGCGGTGGCATTATTTTCCAATGGTGGCCATTTCCTTGCATGATTCAAGTTTCGTGGTGCGAAAACTGCGCTGCAGACTTTACACGATATGACCGATTGCGAGGGACCGACATGTTTGCACAAGGCTGGATGCCAGCTCGGCGTTCCCACCATGTTGCTTTTCCCTCCTCCCCCTTCGCTCTCTCCTCACCTCTCCTTCTCCTGGTCGTGTGCGGTGCCCTCTGCACGGGCTCCGCCAGCCGCCAGCCGTCGTCGGCGTTGTCGTCGTCGCCGTCGTGGTGGCCGCTGTTGTCGAGGAGTCCCACATGCACCTGATGTCCGTCAGCGGCAAGAAGTTGGGCGTGGTGGACTTCCGCGGGGTCATCAAGGACGGCGCACTGCAGAGGGGGGTTGAGGAGGGGGAGGGGGATGGAAACGGCGGGGATGGGGCTGGCGGCACGCACAGAGGGATGGCGGGATGGGGCGCGGCCACCAAAACAGCCTGAGGGGCTTCTGGGAAGGCGGGTTGCGTCTTACGTAGAGCCCATCTGGCTTCCAAGAGGCAGTCTTGATGTTGCGGGGCCCTCCTGAGAAGGCCTGTGCCCTCTAAGAACCCCCCCGCCTTCTTTGGAGCCCACCTCCCTCGCGCCAACCCCTTGAGGGGCGCCGCCAAAGACGAGAAGGGGACACGAAGGTCTCAAGCCAACGCGTTCGCCGACAAGCTGGCCGCACTCCGCTCCGCGGGCCTATCGGCCGAGGCTGCCTGGACGCTGTTGCGCACCTACGCGCAGGGAGCAGTTACCCACCACCTCCGGGCCAACCACGACACGACCTGGGTCGACCCGTTCGACGACGTGATCTTCAGCAGCCTGGAGCACCTCGTCGGCGCGCCCCTGGACGCGTCCCAGCGCGCGCAGGCCACCATGCGGCTGAAAGACGGCGGCTGCTCCCTGCCGTCCGCCCGCCTCACTGCGGCTGCTGCCTACGCCGCCAGCTGGGCCCTGGTCCTCCACGAGGTCGCCGCAGGGGCTGGGTTTGCCACCTGGGAAGATTTCCGCGCGCGATGCCCTCTGACGCACCAGGCGCTCGTGCAGGCGGACGCGGACCTCCTGGCCCAGGGAGTGAAGGACGACCACTTCGACTGGCTCGGCGCCTTCCAACACCCCGTCCCCAAGCTACAGGGAATCTGGGGGGAAGCACGTTCTGTGGCCACTCGGGCCCGCCTGCTGACGGCACTGGACGAGGAGGAACGAGTGGCCCTTCGCGGGGCCGGCGGGCCGGGCGCCGGCGGCTTTCTGCTCCCCGTCGAGGAGGGGGACCCGGCGCTCCCGCGGACGCGCATTTCTTAGCTGCACTGAAAATGCGCCTCCGCTGCCGTGTCTGTCCCGATGGCACCACCTGCCAGCATAGGCGCGCCGACGGCACGGTCTGCGGCGCCACCCTTGACCCCAAGGGGTGGCACGCCAAGAACTGCGAGGTTGGCGGCTCCCGCGATGCCCGCCATGACAGCATGCGGGACTGGCACGCCCCCCTGCATACGCGCCTCACCGGCCACCACGCGGTGAAGGAGCAACGCGTCCCAGGGTGGGACCGCGTGAACAGGCAGACCGGCGAGCTCCAGCTCGCGCGCCTCGACGTCGCAACCCGCGACCCTGCCACTGGGCAGCCCGTTTACGTTGATTGGAGCATTACCTGCGAACACAGCACTTACGCCCCTCGCAGGCAGGCTTGCTCCAACAACGACGGGGTGGCCGCCGCGGCCACGGTCCGTGAGAAGCGCGCCAGGTACCCCCCCGAGCACGGGAACTTGGTCCCCCTGGTCTTCGAGACTGGCGGCCGGCCCTCCGACGAGGCGGCCGAATCAGGCCCCCGGAGACCAGGACACAGATAAACCAGGACACGGAAAACTAAGGAAACGACATCTTTTCCTGCAGTGTCACGTTTTTCAGCACCCGTGCATGTTTTGCTTGCTGCACTGCAGGATTCGGGTTTGTGTCCGGGTTTAGAGGGGTCTTGCAGGCTTTTGAGGCCCGTGCCCGGGTTTATTCTGGAAATGTTGCAGTGCAGTATTTCGTTCGTGCCGCCGTTTGGAAAATTTGGTTTCGAGGGATGTTGGGTGTCCGGGTCTAGCGTGTCCGGGTCTACGGGGCCCTGGCCGAATTTATTCGAACATACGGACAGGATATGGACTCGGCGGAACGGGGGGCCGCCATGGGAACCGTGTGGCGACAACTCAGCCGGCGCCTCCAGGCCGGGAACGCAGAGATGGTTTTGAGCGCCCTCAGTCGGCGAGCGCCCCGTTGTCACCACTGACGACCACCACAACCAGCAGGCTGACCACCAGCATCACCACCGCCAGCACGACCACCACGAGCACCAGCATCACCAGAAGACTGACCGCCGGCACGACCACCACGACCACCACCAGCACGAGTGACCCCCAGCACCACAACTACTAGCCACCACGCCCACCACCAATACGACCACCGCGACCACCACCAGTGCGACCACGACGACCACGACGACCACCTCCAGCACGACCACAGCGACCACCCCGACGACCGCCGCCGCCCCCCGTCCCCCTCTCCCTTCCCCCTCCCTCCCCTGCCCCTGCCGGGCCGCCCCTGCCGCTACGCTTTTTGCGCGCCAGTCCCCTCCTCCTTCCTCCTCCTCCTGCTGCTGCCTTCCTCTCTTCTTTCTCCCGGTTGTATGTGCTCGTGCGCAGGCCGGGCTCCAGAGGGAGGCCGGCCATTGTGTACAGGTTCAGGACTTCGGGGACCATTGCTCAGGGCAGCCCCCTGAGAGCTGGCGGGGGCGCCACACCCGCGGCCAGCGGCAAAAAGGCCAGGAGGTGGGGGAGGAGGACTACGAGGTAGAGGGGCGGAGGGGGAGAAGGAGGAGCAAGAGTAGGAAGAGAGGATGGGGAGGACAGGATGAGTTGGAGGAGGAGGAGGGGAAGAGAAGAGAAGAGACGAAGCCATACATCTTTTTCTTTCAATACGGGGTCCCCGGAAGTCCCGACCCGTTCCCTAGAGCAGACTGTTCAGCCCGAGAACTATGCAGCAGGGGCCCTCACGAGGGCGACAATAGCGTCGACGTCCGACGGTCGAAGAAGATTCATCAGAATCTGCGTGAACATTTGGGTAAGAGGGCCCGAATGGTTGTACTTTTCCCTTGCTCGCCTGCGTAGCTGGATGGAGGGCTTGAGGGCGATACCTGGGTGCACTATATGGAGAGAGGACGGGGGGGCGATCTACGGCGGCAGTTCTTGGGGGTAACACGCGGGGGCAACACATGGGGGCAGCACTTGGGGGCAATAGTTCGGGCAGTAAGTGCTTGGGGGCCCGCCATGGTGGCGGCACACCCGCCGCTGCCCCCTCTCTTATTCGCGTGTGCGGGGTGCCACAGGAACTGTCCGAGGTCCTCGGGGATCCAACAACTGTCGCGCACCTCCGAAAAATAGTGTTTACGCCGATGCGTTCCTCTCGACGACGTCGCCGTCGTCGTTTCTGAAGTTTCCAGGCGTTCCAGAGGTCCTCGCGCCACCGCCCAGCTGCGGCTCGGAGGGCCGGCCAGGATGGATCCCGTGGGGGGGGGGGGGGGCGGCGACGAGGACGGCAGCGGTGGCGGCCGCCCGCGGCGGCGGCCAGCGGCCAGTGGCGGGGGCAGGGGCAATGACGGCGGCGGCGACGGCAGTGACATCGGCGGCGGCGGCGGCAACAGGACCAGGCGCCTCTGCACCGTGCGCCGCGGTCGCCCGCCTCGGCGGCGCGGGGCGCGCTGGTGAAGGCGCGCACGGCGCTCCCGCCACTCGTCGGCGCCGCCCGCCGCCGCCGCCGTCGCCCTCGTCGCCCTGCTCTCGCCGTCGCCGCCGTTTCCGCCCTGGTGAGGGGACGCGCGACGCGCGATGCTCGTCGGCGACGCCGCCGCCGTGGGGCGTCGTCGTTGCCGTCCTCGTCATCGCCCTCTCTTGGATACATACGAAAGGGAGGGGTCCTTGGGACTTCTCTCCGATTTCGGGCTCCCGGGGCCCGGGCCGTCCACAAAACGACTCGGGATGAGCAGATGGCCTTTGGGGAAGCGCCAGGGTCCAGATCCCGTTTCCACCGGGACCCCTTCCCATCATGCCAACCTTCGCACCCACCATCAAAGATCTCGATGGACCCTGGCCTCGTGATGAGGGTGCCCATGTGAGGTGTTTTTTGATGCTTACTGAAATCGATGCTTGGATCTGCGGGGGAACTGGAAAGAGGCCTCCCCGTCCGACCTGGCGCGGACGAGGGCTGCATCAAGGAAACGAGCGAAGAACATAATGGCAGCATTGAGCCCGGTGAGTCAGAAGAAACGATGTTGGAAGGCGTCGGCAGGGCGGGCCAGGGGCAGACTGTGAGCAAGCCCGCTGCACCTCCAAACAACATGCTCTTGATCCGCGACTGGTTCTGGGCAGAATGAGCCGCGCCGCTGGCGCCCGTATGCGTAGCCAACCTCATAATATTTCTCCTGGTGAGTATCATCCCTTGGACTGCTTGCAGACGAGCGGAATTCCGCGCGTGATCTTACGAGGCTTGTATGACGAGACCGTACCCTTCCTCCTTCCTCATCCTTTTCCTCTCTCATCCTCCATCCTCCTCCCTTCAATTTCAAGCATGGGACCACTCCCTCCTATTCCTCTCTTCGTTTTTAGCATCGTAGTCGTAGTAGTCATTGTTTTAGTAGTCGTAGTCATAGTAGAACCTGGTCGCAGTGCTAGAGTGCTAGAGGCAGCCTGGTCGCAGTAGTCGTCGTCGCAGTCGTAGTAGTAATAGTACTTACTATCGTAGTTGTAGTGGCGCGACGAAGACGACGACGAATACGACGACGACGACTGCGGCGACGACGACGGCGTCAATTGTTTGCCCGTGTTTTGTTACGGGGGTATTGTAGGCCTAATGTCAGGCGAGCATCCATCCGCCGAGGACACTCATCGCCTTTAACACTTCGTCTCTGAAGGAATTCTGCACCGCCTTGGTCCGCGTGCTGCTACACTGCGGAGCCCGGGTGGACCACACCATAGAGGCGTCCTTGCGGGCATTGGTGATGAAGGAGCCGTAGACAGTGTGTGCCGAAAGGCCTCCCGAAGGAAGTGGGCGAGAGGGCGAGCTCAATGTCAGAGCTGGCTGGCTGTCGTAGTCCTGGGCGAACTCGAGGCCCAGCAGGGCGTGCTGCCACGTCCTCCCAATCACCACAGTCGCATGTGTGCGGAGGTCTCCAAGGACCCTCGTCACCACCTCCTTCCGGGTGCCATGTCAGGGTTAGGGAGAATTGCAAGGTGGGCAACAGGCCCGAGCCCGTCTCCTGAGGTGGCGCTCTGCAACACACCCGCGGGTCAACTTGCAGCGTTGGGGACTTTGCCCTCCTCCCGCCCCCCCGCGAAGGAAAGGCAAGGGGGGACCATCTACTTCGAGGTGGACGCTTGAAACCACCGAACGGAGATTTCCCCCCCACTGATGATCCTGACGCTAGACATCTGCAATAGTTTCATCGATAGAGGGCGGGTCGTGTGCAACGTGGCTCTCGCTGTAGCGCCGCGGGCAGTCGCCTTGAACAGCTTGCAACAGTTTGACGGATGAAGGGCAGGCCCTTTCAAAATGTGTGTGTGCGTGTCGCATTTGCGCCATGCACATTTGTTTTCAAAGATTGAAGCAGTTTCTCGGATGGACGGCGGGTCATGGTTGGAATGTGGTTCTGGTCCTAGCACCGCGCACATTCGTTTTATACGTTGGCAACAGTTTCATGGATGAAGGGGGTTCCTTGCAAAATGCGGCTCAGCGCCGCGCACCTTCGTATCAAACTATTGCAGCAGTTTCGAGGATTCGTGCGGTTGAGATCCCAGGAACGGTGTCCTGTCATGATTTGGGGTTGCCCAGCCGCAACAGTCGCGTTGATCCGCGGTGATGAAGTCTCAGGAATGGTGCGATGACACGATTTAGGATTGTCAGGACGCAGCAGTCACGTTGATCCACGCCGCTGAAGTCACAGGAAGGTGCTTTGGCATGGTTGAGGATTCTCAGACGGTTGTCGTTGAATGAGCCATTTCCCGCAATGCGCCTGAATCCTTCTAGGAACCAATGAGCAAGGGGCATTTGGAGGGATGTTGTTTTGCAACATCGTTGATGCGGTTTGGATTCCAACTGGTCCTTTTCCTCATCTTCGATCATCCTCATCCTCCTTCCTTCCCCTCGCTCCTCTCCCCCTCCTGGTTAGAAACAAGATTGGCGCGTCGGGTATCTCCACAGGCCCATCCAGACACGATGCACTGGGACTTCCCTGACTGGAGATCTTTGGGGCCTGTGTGGGCCAGAGGCCAGATGATTCCTGAGCCTCTTGGGGCGTAACCTAAGGGCACCTTAGAGGAATATTGGGCCGTCTTGGGGGCCTCTTGCCAGCGCTTGGGGATCGAATGTCTCTGGGGGGCTTCTTGTGGCTTCTAGGTGCTGTCTTCGGGCTATTTTGGAAGCAACTGGTGAAAACCGCTGGGCCACCCTCACTGAGCCCCACCTCCACACGCACGCACGCAAATAGCCGCGCCTAGACGGCGCATCGGCAAGCAACCATTTGAACTGAATGGAACAACTTGAGACTGAAAGGGCGCTGGCACACAGACATTGTATACAGACTAGCGCTGCGCGGCGGATGCCAACACAATCTCACGGAACGCAGAGGGAGGGGGAGGGGAGAGGAGCAAGGGAGGGAGGGAGGCAGGCTAAATGGTCATAGTGATTCGCAAGATCTCGCGACTGCGGCGTCCCATTCCGCAGCCGACGATTGTAGCAACAATTTTAAGTCGTCAGGGTTGTCGTGCGCTACGTTCAGGGCGTGTGCATGCACGTAACTTCTCTGCCGAAGTCGGGGGCGCCCTCCTCTCGCGTGCGAAGAATGTTCCACTGCCTAGGTTGCAGAGGCGTTGCGAACCAGGTGAAGACATCACTTAGGTATTGGGCATTGCTCACGCCAGATTCTTGGGCGTACGCCACATCGCCGAGCCTTTGGGGAACTTGTGGTTGTTGCTCGTTGCTCCCGAGGGCCTCTTGTGCGCCTTTTGGGAGCTTCTTGGAGCTCTTTTGGGGCTTCATGGAGGGCCTCTTGGGGGCCGTTTCAGGGCCCATTGGGTTGACATTCTCAGTATTCGCCGTGCACGGATGGGGAAACGGGCGATAACCCACGTGTAGAGACGGCGGGCATCTGTCGAACACCAAAATATTGATTCTCGACTGGCCTTCGGCACATCCCGCCACCGTGCCTGGGTTGCGGGTCTGAGGCCATTCGGAGAACCCCCTGGGAGCATCCTGGGGACCTCTCGGGGGCTTCTTGCGGCCATCTTGGGGCTCCCTGGGGGCCTGTTGGGGGCTTCTAGAGGCGTCTTGGGGTGGTGACCTCGAAATGTCCGTTCTGGTTCCCCCTCTGGGCGGGCCCCCTCTTGGGGCTGTCCTGGGGAGGGCCGTCTCGGGGGCTTCTTGGGCCGTCTGGGGGCCCTCTTGGGTCGTCGTGGCGCCCTCTTGGCGGCCTCGTTTGCCCGTCTTGGGGCGATTTCGAAAGCCGCTTGGGCCGTCTGGGATGCTTTCGTGAACGCCCATGAGGCGAATGTGCTCGACATGCATGTAATCCCAAGCGAACGGGACGTTTTTTGCTTCTTCAGGCCCTCTTGGGACGCCTCTCGGGGGCTTCTTGGGGCGTTTTGGGGGCCTCTTGGGCCGTGGCCAGCGTGGGCGTTCTGGATCGATCTTTCATCGACTCGCGGCCCTCCGCCCCAAGGGCCTCTTGGGGCCCTCCTGGCCCGTTTTGGGGCCCCATGGCGCGTTCGGCGGTCCATGAGGGAACCCCCCACCCTCCAAATCGACCGGACTGGGGTCCCGGGGGAGGGGCTCTGGGAGGAGGAAGCATCTCAAACGCCGATGAAACCCAAGGGGTCGGAGTATAAAAGCCGAATGGACTCCGAGGATTCTCCCGGGGCATCTGGCTTGGAACCTGCTCAGCTTATCCATCTCTCGTGAAGTTCGAAAGCATGTACGCCTCCAGGATCTGTGTTTTCCTTTGCCGGCATCCGCTCACATGGTTCCAGACATTGCAGGGCTTCTCCAACAAAAACACCCTTCGCTTCGCCAAGTCATCGTGTTTGCTCAGTCCACGGCCTGCCATCGACGCAGATAAGGCCGCCCAGATAAACCGCATTGGGTATAGCTTGAGAAAAGTCTCCAGAAGGCCCAAAGATCTCATGACATTCCGCCCATCCCGCCACCGTGCATAGGATGTGGGTCTGAGGCCTCTTGGATGCTCGTCGGGATTTCGTCGAGGCCTCTCGGTGGCTGCCTGGAGGTAGTTCTGAGGCCTTTGGGGGGCTGTTTCGGGGCCTCGTTTGGAGCCTCTTTCGCGCCTCTTGGGGGCCTCTTGGGGGGCCTCGTGGGGGCCTCTTGGGGCCTCTTGAGGGGTCTTGGGGCCTCCAGGGCGCCTCTTGGGGCGGTGGAAGGCTCGGATGTTCGGTTCGTGTTCCTCCTCTTGGGGCCCGCATGGGGCCCCGCCTGAGGCCGTCTGGGCCGTCTTGGGGCCCTCTCGGGCCGTCTTGGGGCCCTCTTGGGGGCCTCTCGGGCCATCTTGGAGCGATCCTGGGGCCCCTCTTGGGACGTTTTTGGAGCGTCGGAAGCTCGAAACATTGACAAACCGAGCGGGAATCTATGAATTTGGCTTCTCGGGGCCCTCTTGGGAAGGCTCTTTGAGGCCTCTTGGGACGTCTTGGGCGCTTTGGCAGCTGACTGGAGGGCACATTCGGCGACTTGGACCGATCATGCAGCGATTCGAGGCCCTCTTGGCCCGTCTCGGGGCCCCCTTGGCCCCCGAGAAATCATGCGGGAAGACGCGCCGGAGCTTGGGGGCACGCGCCGCGCCCCAAGATATTCGAGAAGTTGGGGTGCGGGCCCCTGCATCAATCTTCCGCACTGAAGATTGAGGCTCAGAGGTTGAGCAAGGGACCAGGGGGCACTCCACTGCGTGCCACAGGGGGATGGTGGCGGATCTCTGCATTGCAACGGGTACTAGATACATGTGTTTGCTCTCGTTGAGAGCTCCAAGCCAACTGCGTTGTCGATCGCCGCCACCATGTTTCATCGCTCCCTGGATTTCTGCCAAGAACTTTGTGCCGTTGACGTACACTACGTCGTCTGTGAGGAGGTGTTGTTTAGTTTGCGCCATCTGTGCATGTTGCCGTTGCCGTACTTCCTTATCCAGTGTTTCCCAAAGGCCACAAGTTTGGCCAACACCCCAGAAATCAATGATGTGCGCTTTCTCGCTGACGCCTTTTCGGACGCTCTGGCCGCTCGCCCCCCACCCCCACGTCCAGACCCAGGGGGAGGGTGAAATGGGAGGGGTCAAGTCCAAGCCTGAACGCTGCAAGCCGTCTCGCTCGCTCCCACCCGCCCTCCCGTTACATGAGTAGCACCCGAGATTCAGCATAGGCAGGAGCGGCAATCGACAACCATCGGGAACCAATGCAGACGCCAGCTGGGGGCGCGAAGTCCGCGAGGTGCGCTGCGCATGCCTGGTGCGCCACGCGCTCCAGGTGCGCCACACTGAGTACTATGTCACCCCCCCTACACCATCCCTGTAACCAGCCGATGCGAGTTCACGGCGGGTTTGCGAGTCCGCGTGGGCGTATCACCGCAATTATTCAAGACGCTTCGCGTTCACCGCCCGCCCATTCCAGTTCTCGCTGGACGAGGTGAAGACGGCTCCCTGACGGGATAAACATAGGCAGGAATTCATACAAGTCGTGTGCTTTGTTGTTTTTGTCCCGCGTTCTCTCTTCCTATGGCCTACTGTGCTCAGGCTTGCCTCGTGGCTGTTCGACAGTAGGTTTGTCGTACTTGCTACTGTTAGTGGTGGTGGTGCTGCGGCTGGTGTTGCTGCTGGTGTTGCTGTTGTCGCTCCTGCTGGTGGTACGGTGCAGTGCTTGTGCCGCTGCTGCTGTTGGTCCTACTTCTGCTGCTGCTGCTGGCGCTGCTGGCGCTGGTGCTGATGTTGCCAGTGTTAGTGCTGCTGCTGCTGCTTGTGGTGCCGCTGCTGTTGTCAGTGGTGGTGGTGGTGGTGGTGGTGGTGCTGCTGCTGCTGGTGCTGGCTGGTGCTGGTCGCAGTGGTGGTGCTGCCGCTGCTGGTGGTGCTTCTACTGTTGACGTTGCTCTCTGGGGGGCCTGTCGGGGTGCTGCTGAGGCTCCGTCGTTGACCTCTTGGGGCTCCTCTGAATGGTTCGGGGTCCTCTTGGTGCTCTTTCGGGTTGCCTGGGGGTCTTTGAGCTCTCTTGGGGCTCTCTTGGGAGCCCTTTGGAGCCTCGGAAGAGGAGCTCTTGGGGCCTCCTTGGAGGCCATCGGTCACACGAGGGGCGGGGTCCCCGATTGACGCCCTCTCCTCTGGGGCCCTCACACTGGCCTTTTGGAGCCCTCTTGGGCCGATGTTTGGCCGCCCTTGGGCGTTCTTGGGCGCCAAGAAGGGCCGAAGAGGAACCCGAAAAGGGCCCAAAAAGATGCTAAGAAGGCCCCGAGGCGGTCTGGGGGAAGCCCAGGGCGGCTCAAGCGACAGCACTTCCGCGTTGGGTCGCAACCGCGTCCGTCTTGCAGTAAAAACCGGGCGGGGTCTGACCTGGTTTGGGGTCCGTTTTGCGGCCCAACATGCGCGTGGGCGCATCACCGCAATTATTTAATCGTTTCGCTCATTCCGCCGGCCCATAATGTCGCACCGTGGTCGCCTGTCCGAGTGGTCGTTTGCAGTGTGGAGCTGCGGCGTCGGGAGCTGTGTAGTTGTCGATAAAGTTGTTAATGCTTTTTTCATGGGGCTTCCAGGTGTCTGCAGTTTTTTTGACGGCTTTGGTGCCATCGTGGGGGCGTGTTACCTGTGGTATCCCGCTGTAGGGCCGTTCGGGCCGGGGGAAGAGACATCTTATGCGATAGGGGAACCCTCGTGTCGGAGGGTGGCGGGCTTTGACTGCTAACATTGGCTCTGTTATCGTCCTGATGTCGTCTGGCGTTGCGGACACGGGCGTGAAGGAACACTTTCTTGTGGCGTTTCTCTTACCATCTCTTTTCTAATTGGACCGGAGGAGGAGGACGACGACGACGAGGAGGAGGAGGAGGAGGAAGAGGAGGAGGAGGAGGAGGAGGAAGGAGGAGGGGGATGAGGAGCGATGAGGAGCGCCTTTGTCGTCGTCGTCGTCGCCGCCGCCGCCGCCCGCCGCCGCCGCCGCCCGCCAGCGTCGTCGTCGTCGTCGTGGAGGGTCGAGGCTCGAGGCTGGAGGCCGAACGAGGGGGAGGAGGACCGCCCCAACCCGCGTTTCCCAACTCGCGTCTGGCTGGAGTCTTGGAGGCGTCCCGGGGGTCTCCTGAGGGTTTTTTTGGATGCCTCCAGAGGATCTTTTGGAGGCCTCTTGAAGCCTCTTGAGGGCCTCTTGGGGGCCTCTTGGGGCCTTTGAGGGCGTCTTGGGGCCTCCCAGGGGCCTCCAAGGGTCGAGAACTCGAAATTCTGTTTCGTCAACCCCCTCTTGGGGCGTTCTTGAAGCGTTCTTGGGGCCCTCTTGGGCCGTTTTGGAGGCCTCTTGGGCCGTTTTGGGCCATCTTGGAGCCCTCTTGGGGGCCTCTTGGGCCCTCTTGGGGCGATCTTGGAGGCCTCTTGAGCCGTTTAGGGGCGCCGGGGAACCGAAAAGGCTGAAACGCCCACATGTGTCCAAAACCTATGGAAAAAAACATGGTTTGTTTGCCTCTTGGGGCCCTCTTGGGAATGCACTTGGAGACCTCCTGGGGATCTTGGAAGCTTCTTGGATCATCTTGGAGACGTCTTGGGCCGTCTGGAGGGCATCTTGGGCGTCGTGGAGCGATCTTCAGGCATCTCGGACCTCTCTTGGACCGTGTTGGGGGCGTTCTTGGGGCCCTCTTGGGCCGTCCTGGAGGCCTCTGGGCCCGTCTTGGAGCCGTCTTGGGCCGTCTTGGGGCCCTCTTGGGGGCCTCTTGGGCCCTCTTGGGGCGATCTTGGAGGCCCTTTGAACCGTTTAGGGGCGTCGGGGAACCGAAAAAGTTGAAACGCCCAAATTTGTCCAAAACCAAGAGAAAAAAAACACAGTTTGTTGCCTCTTGGCGCCCTCTTGGGAGTGCTCCTGGAGGCTTCTTGGGCCATCTTGGATCTTCGGGCGTCTCGGACCTCTCTTGGACCGTGTTGGGGGCGTTCTTGGGGCCCTCTTGGGCCGTCTTGGAGGCCTCTGGGCCCGTCTTGGAGCCGTCTTGGGCCGTCTTGGGGCCCTTTTGAGGGTCTCTTGGGCCCTCTTGTGGCGATCTTGGAGGCCTCTTGAGCCGTTTAGGGGCTTCGGGGAACCGAAAAGGTTGAAACGCCCAAATATGTCTATTTTTTTAATTCTTGATTTTTGCCTCTTGGGGCCCTCTTGGGAGTGCTCCTGGAGGCCTCTTGGGGCATCTTGGAGGCTTGTTGGGTCATCTTGGAAACCTCTTGGACCGTCTGGTTCGAATTTGTTTTTGGCAGGGGTGGTGGGCCTGCACAGCAGGCAATATGCCCTCACCCCTGGCAAACTGAACTTGTCGTATTGTTGGAAAGGCTCGATCCAGACTTCGAAGGCCCGCTGACGACCCCCCCCACCAAGACCCAGGGAGGGTGGCATTTTGACCCGGGACCCCGCCCCCGGGCCCTCCTTCCCCCCCCCCCCGCAGGGGGATAGTGGGAAGGGGCTTCCCTTCGACTTAACTGCGACGAGGTTCCCACTCTTTGTTTCTCAACATTCTTTGGGGCTGACGACGACGACGACGACGACGACGACAGCGTCTTCCACACGCCGAAGGGTCGGCGGATTCCGGTGCAATGTGCACATTGATTTTGCATTGTGTTCTGTAAGGGGTGGCTGGGGGGGTGTCATTGCACACAGGAGGCAATGCGCCCGCCCCCCCGCCGTCCTCGACAAAGACCCATGCGAAGTGATCGCGGGGCGTCCGCGCGTGACCCAGATGTTTGTGCCAAGTGTATTTTGTTTTGTTTTTGAAAGGGATGGTGGGGGGGTCGGCATTGGCTCGGATTTGTGGCCAGTCGGGTGGGGGAGGGGGTGCATATTAATGTGGAGAAGCCGTAAGCCCCGCCCCGAAGGTGAAGAAGGTGGTAATATGGAAGAGGAAACGTTCTAAGCCACCTCGGCCCACAGGGCTGGCGGGATTCCTCTTAACTCCTCCCTCCTCCTCCTCGCTCCTCGATCCCTCGTCGCTCCTCCTCCCTCCATGTCCTCTGCCTCCGTCAGCCCGCTCCGCCGACCGCCACCCGCCGTCGGCGCCCGCCCCCCCGAGGGCTCCGTGCAGCTCGACGACGCGGACCCAAACGGGGGGTCCCTCCGCCACGCCCCGCGCCGAGCGCAGCGGACGCGGCGGGTCCCCGGATCTCCAACGCAATGAAAATTCAATGCGCAGCTTTTTCGTCGTGTTCGGCCTCTGGGGGCACTCGTCAGGCTCCGGACCATTAGGAAATGACTCGGGATGAGAAGCCTGCCCCGGGGAAAGGGTCGCGACTTCTGGGGACCCCGCGTTGAATAAATCAAAGAATGAACGCGTTCTGTAGGCGCTTGGAGGGTGGGGTCCAGAAACGCTTCCCCCCCCCACCCGATTCCAGGGGGGAGATTCGACCCCCCCCCCGCTCCCCCTAGGGTTCGAACCCCCTCTCCTCCCCCGGCCTGCGCCGGCGCCGGCGTGGTCCTGGGCCCAGGCCTGGGCCTGGGCCTGGGCGCGGGGGTGGGCGTGGGCTCGGGCGTGGGCGTGGGCGTGGGCCCCAAGAGGGCCACAGGAGGTCCCCAAGAGAGTCCTGGAGGGCTCCGAGAGGGTCCCAAGACGGCCCAAGAGGGCCCTGGGACGGCCAACGAGAGCCCCAAGACGGCCCAAAAGAGCCAAAACGATCCCCAGGAAGGCCCGGAAACGCAATATTCATTGATTATCGCAAGTCTTTTTGCTAGATTGTTATATGTCGTACCAAGGCCTTGACACCAAGCTCCAAGACCCTAAGCCAGCGACCTCGCGCCCCCACAACTTATACGCGCTGTCCATCCCCGTGCTGAGGAGATCTAATATCGAAGACGCCTACAGCGAATCACCGCCGCCCCCTGCCTTTCCGTAGCCATTTTGGCTCAAGTTCGAAACGTTGCCCTGGCGCTTCGAACTTGGACGCAGCCAAGGGGTTGGCCCGAGCGTCCCGAGGATAGTCCTCACCTTTACCTTCTGATGCCAGGGATCATTCCACGGATTACTCCTGCTTATCCCTCGGCCGCGATGTCGAGCTCAGAGGTCCTGGCCGCACTTGGTTCGATGAAGAGTGAGTTGCTCACGGCGATAGGAGCGGCTAACGCCAGGACCGACGCCTTGGAGCTTCAGATCCAGGGGCTTCAAGCGCAGCAAGTCTCGTCGGTGCAGGAGATGCAAACGATGGTGACCTCCATGTCGGCCAGCTGGGAGGCGCGCTCCCAGCAGATCACGGGCTCGGCGATTGTGGTTGATGACGGCAATGGCTGGCATGACTGCCCTGAGGGTTCGGCAGGACACCAGGCGCTTGCTGAAGTTGAGAAAAAGATGGAAGCAAAGTTTGAGAACATTCAAGAGCAGTTATCAATCATTTCGGCGATTTCACGCACACCATCGACGGCTGCGAGTTCGGACAGTGGGGGCACCTCTAGACGTAAGCGCCCTGCGACAGGACCCATGCCTGAGATGTTCACCGACGCGCTTCAGAACAATGAGAAGGACACGCATAACCCTTGCAGGATTTGGATTGGTGGATGGCCACGTGAGGTGCTTTCGCAATATCGGAAGGAGCACTGGGAGTGGTACAAGACTCAGGTGCCCCAGGACATGATTTCTAATACCCAGCCATCGTTCCAGCGAACGAGCCGTTCGTACTCGGTGGTGTTTGAGACGGAGGAGGCTGCGAATCGGTTCAAGCAGTGGGCCTTCACGACACCATCGCAATGGAATGACTATCGTGATCGAGCAAAGACGTTCCCCATTCGTGTTCGAGGCGACATTCCCCTTCCTGCTCGGCTGAGGAAGAGTACACTGTCGTGCTTGTGGGAGCCGATGAGGGTGAAGCTGACGTCCAAGGGCCTCTGGAACGGCTCGCTGAGGATGGGCTGCTCTGGCTATGGCTCTGGTCGTTTTCAGATTTCGACGGATGCGGACTCGTGGGCCCTGTTCACGTTGAAGACAGAGGAGGGCCAGTTCGTCATCGTCCCCAACCGTGAAGAGCTGTATCAGTGGAAGTTCACCGATGCTGAGATTGATTTCATCATCGACATTGCTGTTAAGAACAAACCGTACCTGTAGGATGGGGTATGGCGGACACCCACGACCAGGACAGATCAGGTTCCGCCTCTGCTGAACATAGGGAGCGACATCAGTGGGGATGCACGCGATTCAGCTGAGTGTTATGAGCCTGCCATGCCTGTCGCCTTTTCGAATCGTGAGTCTGCAGCCTCTGTTTGTACAGTGCAGCCAGCACCGTGCGAGTCGTCGGCTCATGATTTTAACTTTCCGTTCTGTCCTCCCTCCCCTTTCTCCATCTGTTCTTGGAACGCTGGTGGTATGATCATGTCTATGCAGTCGTTGCGTCAATATCGTGCTCAGAAGAAGATGTCCACGTTCGAACGTCTTTGTCACCCCCACGATATTGTTGTTACCCAAGAGACCCATGGTCACCCAGGCGATATTGATCATCTCTCTCTTCAACTTCCCTCTCGCCAATTTGGCTACTCGTTCTTCCCTGACAGCGCAGGCACTGGTGGCGTGATTACGGCTATCAGTAAAGTGTTCGCGCGTAACTTTTCCTCGATTGCCCATCGGTCGCTGATCGACGGCAGAGTGCTTCTGACTGAGATGAAGGGCCCTCGCGGCCAGTGCAACATTGTCAACGTTCACATGCCCAACACGTCTGATAGCATTCGTGTATGTATATCTGTGCTTCGCGTTCTCCGCCGTGAGGTTCCGCTTTCAGCTGAGCACTTTACTATTCTACTGGGGGGTTGGAATTTTACTCTGGAAGGCGAGGGCCGTCAAAATGCTTATGGTGGTTTGTGGAGCCCAGGGGGCCGTAGGCATGCACAGGCGTTCAACAACAACCTCCCTGACCCCATTGAATTTTACCAGGAAGTGGACACACGGAGGGCTCTGGTTGATAGCGTGATTGACCACGCGGCGCGGCTAGACCGCATCTACTGCTCGCTGCCCAGTGCCATTCTTGCAGATATGACGATCACGACGTCAGCGGTAGGCCGTCTTAAAATCGACATGCCCTCGGATCACATCCCCGTCGTTTCGCATATCTCGATGTGCACCCCTGACAAGTCTGAGTGCAAGAATATCCCGCTGTGGCTTGCGAAGTCGCCCGAGTTTGCTGATGAGCTGGATAGGCTCTTGAGTACTCCTCCTGCTGATGATTGGAGCGCTGTGCGTCTTGCTTGGACCAAAGAATGTATGTGCTCGGCCGCAGCGCGTGCTCGACGACGCATAAAGCATCGAGTTGCCTGGACCTATGAGGAGTGTCATCATTGGTCCATGGCTGCTCTTCGTGGCCTCCGTCTCCAGAATATTACGATGATTGATAATGCATTGGTTTGTTATCCCAAGCTTACTGCTTTTATTGATGACACTACTCTTTGAATGTGCTGACCTTTTCCCCCCCTGCCAACATGTGCGCGAGCTGTACATGAAGATGCTAGGTGCTGAAACCTGAGAGATTGAGAACTTGCCCTCGGATGACTTTCAGAGGCAGAAGGAGGAGAGGAAGATCGCTCGTCGTCGTACGTTCTGGCAGCGGTTTCGCCGTCGAACTTGGCTCCAAGGAGTGGTTGGCGAACATAACAACCCTTACCCCTCCCCTGAGGCCTCTGCTGAGGCCCTGCGGCTTCACTGGGGTGAGGTCTTCTGCGAGCAGCAGGAAGACCGCTCACGGTGGCCCGAGTTACTGTCTTTTGTCCGACAGGTGCCTGTAGGAGCGAATGTGTCTTGGGAAGTGGACTATGAGGTGTTCTTCGGAGACATTATTAAGACTCGTAAGCACAGTATGCCTGGGCCTGATGGGATTCCTTACTTCTGCTGGTGCCTTGGAGATGCCCCTCGTTTTCTGTTTGACTTCTATCGGGACTTGGTTTCTAGCCAGGTCTCTGCTCTGCCTCGGGACATGCTGGAAGTTCTGATGGTTTTTCTGCCGAAGGGGGACTCGAAAGACGATGTGGGGCCTAAAGTTTTCAGGGCTGCTGAAAACACACGTCCACTTTCCATGGCCAATACTGATGCCAAGATACTGAGTTCGTGCATGTGCAGACCGCTGAATGAAGTTGCTCAGCAGACTATTTCTCTGTCGCAGGCTTGTGTCTATGGTCGCAGCATGGCTGCGCATATTGTCCGTGCTGAAGCTTGGGCACTGTCTGAACATGTGCTCGACCACGATGATAGCTCGATGGTCCTGACGGGCTACTCTGCCGCCTTCCCCTCCCTCTCGATTGAATGGTTCTTGGCCGTTTTGGAGGCGATGGGGATCTCGAGCTTTATCGTCCAGTTTTATCGGTTGTTCTACACTGACAACACTGCTCTGATCTCGGTCCTGGGCAAAGTGCGCGCGTCGATTGATATATCTAGAGGTGTGCGTCAAGGGGATCCCGCATCTATGGTTCTCTTCTGCTTGGGCACGGCTCCGCTTCAGGTATATATAAGTAAATGCTGCTGGCAGTGTATGCACCTCAAGCTTGAATATGCTGATGACTGTTTGTATGGCATCCGCGACACCTTTCGACACCTGCGGCACCTCTTCCGTGTTATCATGGCATTGGAGTCGGCAGTGGGGCTGGCGTTGAACCTGCGCAAGTGCCTTGTGCAGGTCCAGTCGACTGTGTTCCAGGCTAGGCTGCAGCAGTCTATCTTAGAGCAGTGCCCTGAGCTCTCCCAGATTCAGATTGTGCGCTCGTGTAAGTACCTCGGCATGATGATTGGTGTCTCTGCCCACGAATGCTACTGGTCGAAACCGGTGGCGAAGTTTGCTCCGCGGGTGAGAGAGGTTCGTCAGGCTGGTCTAACTCTTGCGAATAACATCCCGACTTTCAACACTTCATGTCTTAGCATACTATCCTTTGTCATGCAGTTCGCACCGCTCTCTAGGCCGGTGATTGCAGCGTATAAGAATGCTTTGCAGCTCTTAGTGGTGGGGCCACGTTTTAGTTTCAACTACGAGATGCTGACGAATATGACTTCCCTGGGGTTCCCTGGTCAGTTTAAAAACCTGGAGGCGGTGTCTCGGGCTACGAAGTTCCGCCTGGTCTCGAAGTGCTCGGAGATTCTTGGGATTCTTGAGGATCTGGAAAAACCTTTGCTTCCGACGATGCCTGTGTTGTCAGAACTATGTCTGGTTGGGCCAGTGTTAGCTTCGCTCCTGCTCTGCTTGCGACATTCAGAAGTGTTCGCGGTACTTTGTCCTGCTCGCCCTCGGGGATACCTGGCGAGGGCAAGAGCTCCCAGGCAGCCGTCTACCGCATGATTGCTGCATCGCCTGAATTTGCACATGATGCGAAGCAGGACTTGATGATCAGGATGAGGAGGTGGTTGAATGAGGTTCCTGAGGATGCCGCTTTACAAGTTTCGAAAGCTGTGAAGTTTGTTGTCAAGAAGACTGGGCCCTACATGGGCCTGACGTTTCTCCGTGTGCTTGCCCGAGGTTTGAACACGTCTGCCAGATTTCGCACTCAGTCGCATGGTTGCCTGTTTGGATGCTGTTCAGATTCTTTCGACCCTACCCTCTCTGACCTCGATGATATTGCCCATTATGCGAGATGCTCCCGATTCTATTGGATATGTGAACATTGGCTCGGAGAACTGACGCCCCCCTTCTCGGAATCCCCTCCTTGGCTGTCTGCTCTGCTTCCCACGTCTCTGCGTCCTCGCACGGTGCTACTCCTATCGGCTGCTGTAATTGACGCGTTTATGTTTGCTCACAACTGTCGTCGCCACCTTGTCTCCTCTGGCAGTGTGTCTCAGCAGATACATGCCCGCATGCGGGCCACGGCGCGCAGGCATAGGCCTGTTGCTGAAGCCTGGCGTGTTGAGAGACGGGTGCGTTTGCTTTTCGAGGCCCCCCCTTGAGCCTTGTCAGAGCATCTCTCGGTGTCTGGGGTGGGGCCCTGGACTCGTCTCTGCCGATGATGTGGGCTGATCGATAGCGCCTTCTTCTTTTCAGAGGCCTGGTGCGACTCCCGCGCCTGGGCCCCGACAGATGGCGAGGGGGGGGCTCCGCGTGGGGGAGCGCGGCTGTCTCGCGCCCTGCTTGCCGTTCGGCAGGCAGACGCTCCCCACGGACAGTGGGCCCCCTCCCCCCCTCGCCACGGTGTCCTCGGACTGCTCGACCAAGGAGTCGACCGCTTTCAACTGGGACCCCCTGGAGCCCCTTGAGCCCTTTGGGTCCCCCCCCAAAAAAAAACGCCGCCCCCTGCCTTTTTGGAAGCGCCTATGTGGCCGAACGTTGAGGCCAGACCTGCCAAGCTATCGGACCATGTGTTCCCCGAATCGGTTTGGAAAGCCTTCGGGGAACACGTGGGCATCTTGAAGGTCATCTTGGCCGTCTGGAGGCCATTTTGATCCTTTCGGGCCTTGTTGGAGGACGTCTTGGAGGGCTCTTGGGCCGTCTTGGAGGCCATCTTGAGCGTCTTGGAGACCTCTTGGGCCGTCTTGGGGGCCTCTTTGGGCCGTGTCTTGGGCCTCGTGGGCGATCTTTGGGGGCACTTGGGCCGTCTCGTGCCGTCGGAAGGCAGAAAAAAAAAGCAAATGCCACAATTCTTCAAAAACTGATGTTGGACTTGTCGGGCCTTCCTGGAGGCCCTCGTGGAGGCCTCTTGGGCCGTCTTGGGCCATCTTAGGGCCATGTTCGGCCGTCTTGGTGGGCTCCTGGTCCGTCTGACGCCGTCGGAAGCCGTTTGGGATGCCTCTATGGGCCGATTTGGGGCCCTCTTGGAATGCTCCAGGGCCGTCTTGGAGGACACCTTGGGTGTCCTAAAGGCCTCCTGGGCCGTCTTGGGGGCCTCTTGGGACCGTCTTGGGGCCCTCTTGGGCCGTTCTGGGGCCATCTTGGAGGCCTCTTCGGCGATCTTTCGGCGATCTTTGGGGGCTCTTGGGCCGTCTCGGGCCGTCGGAAGGCCGAAAAGAAGGAAATGTCAACATCCGTCAAAGACATAAAGAAAATCAATGTTTTTGGCCTCTTCTGGCCTTCCTGGAGGCCCTCTTGGGGGCCTCTTGGGCTTTTGGGCCAGCTTCGAGTCAACTTCGGCCATCTTGGTGGGTTCCTGGCACGTGTGACGCCGTCGAGAGCCGTCTTGGGAGCCTTTCTGGGCCAACGGGGGACCCTCTTGGGACGCTTCGGGGCCGTCTTGGAGGTCAGCTTGGGCGTCTTGGAGGCCATTTTGGGCGTGTTGGAGGCCTCTTGCGCCGTCTTGGGGCCCTCTTGGGGCCATCTTGGAGGCCACTTGGGCCGTCATGGGGCCCTCTTGGGGGCCTCTTGGGCGATCTTGGGGGCCTCTTGGGCCGTCTTGAGCCGTCGGAATGCCGAGCAGAAGCAAATTCCAACATCCTTCAAAAACGTATGGAAAATCAATGATTTTGGCCTCTTCGGGCCCTCCTGGAGCACCTCCTGGAGGCTTCTGGGGCCGTCTGGGAGGCCTCTGGGGGGCTTCTTGGGCCGTCTTGGGCTGTCTTGGACTCTCTTGGGCCGTCTTGGAGGCCGTCTTGGATTATCTTGGGCGGACTTGGAGGCCATCTTGGACCATCTTGGAGGCCATCTTGGGCCAACGTGGCCATCTTGGCGCCATCTTGAGCCATCTTGGAGGATTTTTTCCCGGATTGAGCACCTTTCCGGGTGGCCGGCGGGGCGGGCCGGAGCCCCAGGGGGAGTTCTTTTAGAAAACGAACCAAAACCAAAACCGAGAGGATCTAGCACGCCAGGCACCCCTGCGATGAATCGACAGGGGGCGGCGGATCGAAGACGCCTACGGCGAATCACCGCCGCCCCCTGCCTTTTTGGAAGCGCCTATGTGGCCGAACGTTGAGGCCAGACCTGCCAGGCCAGGAAGGGCCATGCGTTCCCCGAATCGGTTTGGAAAGCCTTCGGGGAACACGTGGGCATCTTGAAGGTCATCTTGGCCGTATTGGAGGCCTCTTGGGCGATCTTTCGCCGATCTTTGGGGGCTCTTGGGCCGTCTCGGGCCGTCGGAAGGCCGTAAAGAAGGAAATGTCCAAATCAGTGAAAAACCTTCGGAAAATCAATGTTTTGGGCCTCTTCTGGCCTTCCTGGAGGCCCTCTTGGGCCGTCTTGGGCCAGCTTCGAGCCAACTTCGGCTATCTTGGTGGGTTCCTGGCACGTGTGACGCCGTCGGGAGCCGTCTTGGGGGCCTTTCTGGGCCAACGGGGGACCCTCTTGGGACGCTTCGGGGCCGTCTTGGAGGCCATCTTAGGCGTCTTGGAGGCCATCTTGGGCGTGTTGGAGGCCTCTCTCTCGTGGACGCGGGCGTGTTGGGAGGCTCGTTCATGTTCTGGTGAGGCCAGGTGCGCCGCGCTCCCGCAGTCTCCTCCGCCAATCATAAGAGCGCGGGTCGCGACCTCGCGCGGCCCGGCCAGCCCTGGCAGCCCGCCTAGGGCACAAGCTGTCACGCCATAAGGCTGTGTCCGTGCCGCCAGGTCCGCTCGCGGGGGGTGCAGTGGGCCAAGAAGGCGCCTCTATATAGCCAGAGTCTGTTGTTGCTGTTGCTGCTGCAAGCTTTGGGCTTCGCGGACATAGTCGCTGTAGAAAAGGTCATGTGCAAGAAATCGGGGCTGAGAGTTGTCAACGAGATGGAAATTTCAAAAGTGCTAATACCAGGGAACGGGGGGGGGTCATGTTTGCGGCCTTGCGACAGGCCCGAGGCGCGCAGCTTCAGTTCAGGGCGGCCCCAGGGGCGCCAAGCCGCGCAGGGGCGCGGGGGGCCTTCGGGCTTGACACTGGGGGTCTGTGGTGGGCAGCCTCCATGCGCGGCCTGGAAGGGCTCTCATGCCGCGCCTAGCTGGCGGGCCCTGCGTCGACGCCCTGGCATCCCCCCCGCGTCCAGCGCGCGGGCCGCGCTGGCGTTGAGCTGCGGAGGCTGGCGCCTCGGCCGTGCCGCCGCTCCGCGGCCGAGGCAGGGCCGAACGCCCGAGGTGCGAACTTGCGGCGAAGCCCGCTGATCGCCCCATGTTTTTGCTTTCATGGGAGGGAGCGGGGCCAAGATTTGACAACTCAGAATAATAACTGCAGACGTGAACCTGTGCATTTGGGAAGGTTTGCAGAATTGAGCGTCATTCAGAACTGGCCACAGCGAAGGACCAGGAAACGTCGGCGACTGGCGACTGGCGACTGGCGTTGGTCGGCCGGCGCGTGTGCCTCCCCTGTGGGCCTGCCCAAGTCAGACGCGCGCAGCGCCTGTCTGGGGGGCGGCGCGAGGGGGGGGCCAGAAAGGGCGCGTGTCAGCCCACCGTGGGGGCGCGGATAGCCTGCCACGGGCTATCCAGCGGGGCGCAGCGAGCCCCCAGCGCTTCAGGGGGCTGTGGCGGGCAGCCGCCGCGCGCGACCATGGTGGGCGCCATGGGCCGGCCCCGCGAGCCCCAGAGAGAGAGAGAGAGAGAGAATCTATATATATATATATAAGCGAGAGAGAGAGAGAGGGAGAGAGAGAGAGAGAGATATGAGAAAAAATGAGAGAGTAGGAGAGAGCGCGAGGGAGAGCGAGGTAGCAATAGACAACAATGGTGGCTCTTTTATTTGGGGGCTTAAATCTCGATTGAATCCCTTGTGGGGCTGGGCGCCCCGCGGTGCCGCCGGAAATTTAATTTCGATTTAATAGTTTATTCAATCGGGCGCGCAGCCCCAACCCCTGAGGAGGAGGAGGAGGAGGACGAGGAGGAGGAGGAGGAGGAGGAGGAGGAGGAGGCGGAGGCGGAGGCGGAGGCGGAGGCGGAGGCGGAGGCGGAGGAGGAGGAGGAGGAGAGGAGGAGGAAGAGGAGGAGGAGGGGAGGAACAGGAGGAGGACGGAGGAGGAGGCGGAGGCGGAGGCGGAGGCGGAGGGGAGGCGGAGGAGGAGGAGGAGGAGGAGGAGGAGGACGAGGCCAAGGGAGGAGGAGGGATGTAGAAGGAGGAGGAGGACGAGGCCAAGGGAGGAGGAGGGAGGTAGAAGGAGGAGGGGGAGGAACAGGAGGAGGAGGAGGAGGAGGAGGAGGAGGAGCGAGGGGTGGCAGTACGAACGGTGGTGTGAATGATTTCGGTTAATGTGTTTGAGGCGATCTTTCCGTTTCCGTGCCGGCCCAGGTCTAATAGCTTTCGGCCCATCCCGCCACCGTGCCTGGGTTGACGCGCGCGTAGCGTCGCGATCCGTTAACCGGGAGATATAACAAGGGGAGGGGTGGAGGGGGTAGCTCCACGACGGCCTCCAGAGTCCCACGAGGGCTCGAAGACAGCCCACGAAGACGGAGCCCACGAGGGCTCGAAGAAGCTCCAAGAGGGCCCCCCAGAGGAGCTCCCAAAGGCACAAATCTTCCGATTCCCTTTGAGAAAACGTGCATGCAAGCATATTTGCTTCTTCGGTCTTCACGGCGTCGAAGACGGCCCAAGAGGCCCCGAATAACCCCTATGACCGCACAATATGCCCCCAAGACGGCGCCAAGACGGCCCAAGTGGGCTCCAAGACGGTCCAAGAGAGCCCAAGACGGCCCAAGAGAGGGTCCCAAAAGGTTCCCAAGAGAGTCCCCAGAAGGCCACAGGAGGTCCCCAAGAGGGTCCCCGAGGGCCCCGAGATGGCGCCAAGACGGCCCAAGCCCCCCAAAACGGCCCAAGAGGGCCCCAAGAAGACTCCGAAGAGCCCCGGAAGGAGCCCCACGAAGGCCCTGAGAGGCCATATTCATAGATTTCCGCTGGGTTATGTGTGTCAGTTTTTTTGTATAACGTGCCCAAGTGTTAACACCAAGTGGGCTCCAAGACCCTAAGCAAGCGATCGCACGCCCTCTCGAAGTACTCGCGCTGTCCGTCCCCGTGCCCAGCAGGTCGAATGGCCTTCGGCCCATCCTGATAAGTGTTGCCGAATGTTTAGACGATCGCACGCTGCGCTGAAGCGAAAACCCCATTTTGAAAATGAATTGCCCTCCATCAGTGCAATTGTTGCAGGTGTTTGAAAAGGCGAAAGTGTGGGGCGCTAGCGCGAGATACCCATTTTGAAAACTAGCTGTGCTCCATCGATCGAATTGCTGCAGAAACTGAAGACGAATGTGCGCGGCGCTAAGGCGAGAGCACAATTTTGGCACTTGTGTTCCGTCCTTCTATCTGTCGTGGATCTCAAGCTTCATGATCATACGTGGTGAGGATGTGTCAGGCGGAACGGCCGGCCCTCCCTACATACCCGTCTGCGTGGGTGCGTCAGGGAGGAGGTGCCTATGATGGAAAGGGTTGGTTCAGGAAAGGGAGAAGATGTGAATGTTGATGTTGATGATGCTGTTAATGATGTTGTTCGATGTGAGGATGAGGATGATGGTGATACCGATGTCGGGGACGACGACGTTGTTGATGGTAATGATGAAAGCGTCGATGATGTTGATTATGATGATGATCATGCTGATGATATTGATGATCATGATCATGATAATGCTGTTGATGATGATGATGCTTATCATGTATGATGATGACGATCATGATCATGATGCTGATGATGTTGATGATGATGGCGATGCTGTTTATGATGGTGATGCTGACGACGATGATGATGATGATGATGATGATGATGATGATGATGATGATGATGATGATTTTGATGCTGATGATGATGACGATGGCGATGACGGTGATGACGTTGACGAGGATGATGATGTTGATGATGAGGATGATGATGATGATGATGATGATGATGATGATGATGCTGCTGCTGATGATGATGATGATGGGGTTAGGAGAAGGAGGAGCTGGGGAGCAGGGAGCAGAGTGAACGATTGCCATGGCCAGGTCCAGCCGCAACAACCACGAGTTCGTGCAGGCCCCTCGACCGCCGAGGGTTGATGCTCAGGGGGAGGGGGGCGCGGGGGCTCCGCTCAGAGATGTTGGGAGGGGTAGACGGACGGTGCACTGTTGCGGCCGATCCAAACTTACCGCGTTTGCATTGATGGCGGGTGCGTTTGCATTTGGCCCGATGTTGGTTGACGCCATCGATTCGAGGCTGTCCAGGCGCGGACAGGGGGGGGGGGATGGAGGAGGATAGAGGATGGGGCGGAGGAGGGAGGAGGGAGGATGACGCAGAGGTGGAAGAGGAGCTGGGGAAGGAGGAACGGTAGCGAGGAGGAGGAGGAGGAGGGAGGAGGACGAGGAGGAGGCAGACGGGGGGCGGAGGAGGAATGCCTCCTGGTCAGCCACCCCGCCCCGTCCCCATCCGCCTGCCGCTCTCCTCCTCCCCGAGCCCGCGCGCCCTGCAGTCTATCCGAGCACACCCGGAGCTGAACAACCGCTTCGGGGTCCTCCTTACGCTGGCCACAGGCGTGCGGCCTTGCCCGGGGCACAAGAGGGGCTGGTGGGTACCCCGAGATCCGGACTTTGCATTTTTTCACACCGCTTGTGTTCGCCCAGTTCCTGGTCCCCTCAGATCGGCTGTCCACGAGAGAAGGGTCAAGTCCTTGCTGCTGGGCTGCTGGGCAAGCGCCAAACTCATTTGGGCCGGACGGTCGATGAGGGGCTCTAAAAGGGCGAGAACAAGATGAGTGATCCAAACCCCGACAATTTGCTCAGGGCATAGTCAAACTAAAGCATGTATACAAAGGGGAAGAAGGACCGGGAGGAGGTGGAACAGTAGGACGGGAGTGGATCCATGATGATCGCTTTTCATGCTGCTTTTTGGTATCTTCTGGGACCTCCATCGTCGCCGGGGCTGGACTCGCCTCGGAAGTCTGGTGGGAGCGCGTTCCAGAAGAGGTCCAGTTGGTCTACCTCGGGGGGGAGGGGGGAGGAGTGGGAGGCAGGAGAGGATAATGATGAGGATGAGGTAGGAGGAGGTAGGAGAGGAGGAGGAGTAGGCGGAGGAGGAGGAGGAGGAGGAGGAGGAGGAGGAGGGGGAGGAGGATTAGCAGAAGCATAAGGAAGGAATTCATGAGGAGAAGCAGGAAACAGGATAATCAAATGGGCGAGGAGGCGGATGACAAGGAGGAGAAAGAGGAGGAAGAGGCGGAGGAGGAGGAGGAGGAGGAGAGGCCAGGGAATTGTGGAGTCGCACGTCGTTTTGAAGGTGCTTTCATCTAGTTGAACGCTCATTTACTTTTAAACTGTGATGTTTTTTATGTCATTTGTCTGTTCGTCGTGCTCCCCTCATAATATGCTTCTCTCGTTATATCGCTATCTCGTGCTCTCTCTCTCTCTCTCTCTCTGTTTGTCTTTCTCTATCTCCAGCACCAGGCCAATGCATGTCGATGCGATACCAATCCCGTTGCCAACCAATACCAATGCCAATGCCGATGCCAATGCCATGTGACTGGGGGAATCCTCTCGCTCGGTGGATTTCATCAAGAATTGTTTGTGGGCGGTGTCATTGCGAATCCTTCTTCGGAGGATTTTGTATAGAAAAGCTTCTGTGAAGGGTTACAATGCAGATCCTCCTAAGGAGGGTTTCACTAGGAATCCTTCTTGTGGGGGGTTCAGTAGGAGTCCTTCTGCGGAGGGAACCATAGGATTCGCCAGCGCAATGCCAACGCAATGCCGAAGCAGTGCCATCGCAATGCCAAGTGAATGCCAAGGCGATCCCAACCCAATGCAAATGCAAAGCCACTGGGGAGGAGCCTTTGTGGTAGATGTATAGATCGAATCCTATGTCTGGATGGTTTCAATGGGAATCGTTGTGCGAAGGGAGGCACAAGGAATCGCTAGCGCAATGCCAAGGCAGTGTCCAATCCAATGCCAATGGTGGGACCCTTTCGCTCGCAGAAACCTTTTTGGAAGGTGTCATTACGAATCCTTCGGAGGATCCCAATAGGGGTGCCTGTGTGGATGGTTTCGATACGGACCCTCCTTTGGAGGGTTTCACTAGGAATCCTTCTTGTGGGGTTTCAGCAGGAATTCTTCTGCGGAGGGAGCCAATAGGAATCGCCAGCGCAATGCCAACGCAATGCCGAAGCAGTGCCATCGTAATGCCGAACCAATGCCAAAGCGATCCCAATACAATGCCAATGCAATGCCAATGGGGGGGGATCCCTTGTTATAGATTCCAAAGGGAGTCGTGCTTGTGGAGGGTTTCATTAGGAATCGTTCTGCGAAGGGAGGCACTAGGACTCACCAAGCCAACGCCGGCGGCCAGGCTCCCAGAACCAACGCCAAGGCGATCCAAACTTAATGCCAATGCAACGCCAATGGGGCGGATTGCTTGTGGTAGCGCTCAATAGCAATCCTTCTGAGCACCCTTCGATTGATGATGTCATCCACAAAGGAATCCTTCTAAGGACCTCCCTTCGGAGGATTTCACTGGGAATCCTTCTATGAAGGATTTCGCATGGAACCCTTTCTGCGGAGGAGTGCAATGTGAACCCTTATTGTGGGGAGGTCCGTAGGCATCATTCTTGTAGACGCGGGTCAATCGGGATCCTTATGTGGAGCGTTTGGTTGAGACTCGCCAGCGCAATGCAAACGCACTGCTAACGCACTGGCATCACAATGCCAGCGCAATGCCAATGTGATGCCACACCGTTGCCAATGCCAACCCAATGCCGATGGCATGATTCCAGTCGTTCAACAGATTCCAACAGACATCCTTTTGTGGATATGCTTGCGGAGGGTTCACACAGGAATCATTTTTTGGAGAGTTTCGCCATGAACCCTTCTTGTGGGGGACCCTTCTTGTGGAAGCTTTCACTAGGAATCCGTCTGTGGTGTGAGGCATTGGAAGTCGCCGGCGCAATGCCAAAGCAGTGCCACCGCAATGCCAAACCAATGCCATGGCAATCCCAATCCACTGCCAATGAAATGCCTGGGGGGGAAATCGCTTGCGGTCGGTTTCAATAGGATTCATTCGATGGGGGGTTTCGACATGAATCCTTCTTTGAAGGGGTTCAAGATGAACCCTTCTTGTGGAATGTTTCAGTCGGAATCCTTCTTGCGTGGAGTTCAATAGCAATCGTCCTGCGAAGGGAGGCGTTGGAACTCGCCAGCACAATACCAGCGCAATGCCAAAGCAGTGCCAACGCAATGCTCAGTGAATGCCAAGGCGATCCCAGCCCAATGCAAATGCAATGCCAATTGGAAAAAAACATGTGCGATAGAGTTCAGTAGGAATCCTTATGTGGAATTGCTTCGTGTATAATCCTTCTGTGTAGGGTTTTAGAGGGACCCTTGTTGTGGAGGGTTCCAATCGAAGTCCTTCTGGTAGAGGGTTTCACTCTGAGTCCTTGTGTGTGTGTTTTTTTATTATTAGGACCCGGCAACGTAATGCTTGAGACATGCAAGCGCGGTGCCAACGCACTGCCAAGCGCTATGCCAACGCAATGCCAATCGGATACCAAAACCATGGCCAAACCTATGCCACTGCAGTGCCAACTGGAGTATTTTTTCGACGCATCTCCATGGCAAAAAGCTTGATTCTGGAGGAAGGAGGAGGGGGGGGAGGAGGAGGAGGAGGAGGAGGAGGAGGAGGAGGAGGACGGGGGAGAGAGGAAGGACGGAGTGGAGCAGCGCGGAGGAGGAGGAGGAGACCCCCCCGAAGTAAAAAAAGAAACACACACACAGAGCAACACAAACGGAAGGCCGCGCCACATTTGTTTTGGGGGAGAGGGGGCAGGAGAAGCAAACAACTAGATTCTGTTGGGGGGGAGGAGGAGGAGGAGGACGAGGAAGGAGCGGAGCAGCGCGGAGGAGGAGGGGGAGGAACGCCCCCTGCCCCCCCCCCCCTCCCCAAACAAAAATACTTGACACCGCGCCGCGTTTTCTTGTTTTTTGGGGGGCAAGATAATCAACGAGCTATGCTCTGGGGGGGGGGGAGGAGGAGGAAGAGGAGAGAGAAGGAGGACGAGGAGGAGGAGGAGGAGGTGGGGAGGAGGACGGGGAGGGGGGAGGATGAAGAGGAGGAGGAGGAGGAGGCGCTTCCTTCTTTTTTGTTTCTCCCCCCCCCCCACAAAAAATGGAAGAGCGCCCCGTTTTTTGGTTGGGGTGGGGGGCAAAACAACAACAAAAACACGCTTGGAGAAGCGGGGGGGGGGGGGGGAATGAGGAGGAGGGGGAAGAGGAGGAGGAAAAGCGGCCAATGGGGCCGTGACGTCCCTGGACCCAACAGCGGGTGGGGGGCATCAATGCGGTCGCCCCTATGGTCGCCCAAATGGCAGCCACAAAAAATATGGCAACCCATATGGTCGCCCAAATGGTCGCCAACAATAGTGTTTTAAACATATGGTAACCCCAATGGTCGCCCAAAAGGTCGCCGCGAAGCCGGTGACCATTCCACGTGGTCGACCACGTGGCAAATCAAAATCGCTCGGGAAACGCGCGGCGGTCTCTCCGGGCACGGGCGCATTGTATAGCATTGCGTAGCATTACTACTGTTCGTGTGTGGGGATATGGGGTTTAAGTATTTGGCAATCCTCAGACGAGTTCCAAGCAAGCTCAAACGTGCTTCACACAAGCCTCGAACAAGCCCCAAACAGGTCTCGCACAAGCCCCAAACAAGTTGCAAACAAGTCTCAAACAGGTTTCAAAGAGGTCCCATACAAGTCTCAAACAAGTCTCGCACACGGCTCACACAAGCCCCAACCAAGTCTCAAACAGGTCTCTCACAGGTCTCCAACAACGCGCAATCAAGTTCCAAATGCGTCCAAAACAAGTATCAAGCAAGTCCCGAACATGTTTCGAAGAAGCTTGGGCCCAGCTCCAAACAAGCCTCGTACACACCCCAAACAAGTCTCACATGCGTTGGGCATTCCTTGAAATTGTATATTATTGGCGCTTCGCGCCCTCCCGCCACCACCAGCCCCTCCGAACGCGACCGCCAGACGAGACGCCCAGAGAGGGCGGGAAGAGAAACCATAAGGCAACACAATGTCTGTTGTATCAAGTACAAACAGGTCTATTGCACAAGTGGTGCTGTGCCGTGTCGTGCCCATGTCGTAGCATAGCACATAGCATAGCATTGCCTACATTGCGCTGCGTAGCATAATCGTGCGAACCACGATAGACATTACATTATGTATCACTGAATTGCAGAGCAGTGTGCCCCACTGCCTAACACAGCACGCGTTGCGCATCCTGCATGTTAGCAGCGCGCATTGCATTGCACTCTACTTCCAACGCTTACCACTCACCTTCGCATTTATTTTTTGTTCACGCATGCTTCGTCTCATATTGATACCGAAAGGTTGTGTCAGGTCAATGGCTTCTTCAGATGGCAAATAATATGTTGAAGTTGATTTCGCTCAAGATCCAGTGCCCGTGCCCAACCTGAAGGAGCTTCCAATCGGGTACAGCAAGAATGTGGTTCTCGAAATCCTCATTGGGTTGCAGATTCGGGGCAG